TGTGCACCCGAGCTTGCACTCAAGGCCTTCTTGGTCTTCTCCGCCTCAATTCTCAACTTAGCCCATGACCTAGTGTCCGTCTCCTTGATGCTGACCTTTGTCTTCTTTGTGAATTCCTTGGCAAAGAATTGCAGCAATGCGTCATCAATGCCTTTGCCGCCCACTTGCGAGGTGCTGCTGGAAAGGAGCGCATACAAACCTGCACGAGCAGCAACGATGGTGGCTGTGGTCGTCTCTGCACCTACATCGACCACGGCAATCGTTCTGTCCAGGGCTCTGCCAGGAGCATATGTAGTCTGATGTCCGCTCTCATCGCCCTCTGGGTTTGAGGGCAGTTCTCCTCGAGGTCCAGGCGAGGTGATGCCGTAGCCAACGAGAGCGGCACTAGGCGCAGCCAGAGTTTCCAGAACGATTAAGCCGGCCTCTTGCGCCGCTTTCCTCACTCCGGCGGATTGGGCTGCAGTAAAGGACAGAGGAACGGAGAGAACAGCACCGGCGATTGGCACGCCGGAGAGAAAGTCCTTGGCGGTAGCAAAGAGCGAAGCGATGTATCGAACTGCAGCATCGTGAGCAGAGAGGATCGTCTTCTTGCCGTCGATCTCCACCTCGAAAGAGGGGACGCCATTCTTGTCCAGAACTTGTGCGGAGTCGCGGGCGAGTTCGGATGAGCTCAATTCTTTGTAGCTGCAGGAGCAGGAGCGTGTGAGCTCGATCAGCGCGATTGCCAAAGGCTGATCGTCTACTGGCCGCAAGCGTGAGCTGCCTAGACTCACCTGCGTCCAAGCAAGCTGACAAATCGGTCGATGACGTTTGGGGCATTTCTCACGAGTTGAGGAGTGGCCTGCTGACCGATGTATACTTGATCGCCCTACAAAGCAGGCATGTGCAAGGATAGGGTATGTGTGTGAGTACTGAGCTGCAGCCCTGTGGCACCGGTCTAGGCACCACTCACATTGAAAGCGATGCGAGTGGCCAGCTGTCTCTCTCCGTCTTCGTTTGCGATCACATCAGCTCGTCCACTGTACGAGGTTGCAGCTTCAATAAGCTGTGTTGACGCACACGGAGGCCCCTTCCATACTCACTGTTGGTTGATGCAAGCAATGGAGGAGTAAGTGTTGCCCAGGTTGATACCAATGACTGCGGTGCTGGAGCTTGCGGTGCTGCCTGCAGCGCCAGAGATGGGCGTGGCAGTGCCATTTGTGGTTGCTGCTGATTTGCTCATCGCGTCCAACAGATGGTGAGCTGAAGTGTTCACCGTTTGACGAAGCGATGGAATGGATTCCTGTGCAGGAGATTGTGGTGCTCAAGGATTCACGAGTGAGTGTGCACTTTGAAAACCTGTGACCTGGTCGACCGTTTAAGCGTTCGCAGGCGTGCAACAATTTTGAAACCTTTCTTCCAAGGCAGACTCAC